AGCTCCCTTGATAGTCTCTCTTTCGCCATATCATCACGGCTCCCAGAAATTAGCGTGGACAGGCTCCAAACATGCAGTGTGCTATCCATAGTAAGTGATCATGTGGACATGTATAGAAAGTGATAAGCAAGAACAGATACCTCTTTCCTTCATTCCTGCAAAGAGAAACACGGGAAGTGTTAACCTGCATAAATGGTCTCCTGTGGGGCCTGAGGGGGAAGGTGGAGGGCGACTTCTCTGAATACATCTGTTTGCGTAGTTCGGTTTTCTAAATGTTTTTAATTTACAATTACAAACGGACTGAAACAAATGACTAGCTATATTTCAAATTAGTACAGCAACCACACAAAGGAAAGAATTATTTAAGTGACATAGGAAACAGAGGTCTGACTGTGGCCTGTGTAAAATAACTCCTAGAAGAAAGATCTTGCACGTCACTCGCTAGTTTTATTCGTGCCAATGTTGGTATTATCATTTTGAAACTATTTTAAATATGTTACAGGATAAATAAGTATACCAGTGTGAGTCAGATCCTAACACTCCACATACAAGAAAATAGATACAGATACAAACAAGTGTAACCTGTCCTGTTGAATTTGGATTTGGAGGTAGTTTTAGGCATGGAGGTAGGGCCATCGGCCTGTCATCTCAGCGTGAACAGCCACAGACACGGCCAAGCGTAGGTGGCAGCTGTCTGCAGGCCGTGGGCTCGGGGTGGGCACCGTGGTCACACCCGGGCCCTCAGCTCAGGGTACTTTCCACCGACAAGTGGGCACAGACACAGCGGCTGTTTCCCTGGACAAAGGAGGCAGAAATCGGAGCTGGGGCTCCTGGGAGCTGAAATTTTCTGGGCAGGCAGGCGGCAGGGAGATTACTGCACAGGGACAAAGCCCTCGCAACGACTCAGCTGCCCGTGTGTCCCAGAGGCAGACAGCCGCGGGAACTCGAGGCCAGGTGGGGATTCCGGACGCCGTACAGCACATGGAGGCTCTGCATTCGACCTGCCAGAGCGGAGGGGTGATGCCAGACACCCCAGAAGCTCCACCCACAGGCCGGCACAGCCACCCGTCAGGGGCAGATAAACGCTCTCCCAGAGCCGGTGGCCAAGCCCCCACAGGACTTGGAGACTCTGCCAGAAACACCGCTTTTAAAGGAGGACAACAAAACTCCCAGTCATGTAGCCTCCGCAGTACTCAGTGCGTGGAGAAGCAGAAGACCGTGACCCGTGACAAGGAGAAAAAGCATCTCAGTAGAAGCCACGGGAGGTAATCGGTAGCGTGGCCCCGGCGCCCGAGGTCCTAGCAACTGTGCCCACGTGGGACCCTGCCCGTGCGCGTGTGCGGGCCTCACTGACAAAACACCGCAGAAGCAACAGGATTTCCCCTCCATGACTGGGTCCTGAAAAGGCTGGCCTCTATCGGGGAGGCTCCTTCTGGCCCTCTCCGGAGTCCCTACCATTCTCTGAAGTAACAGGCACCTCTTTTGATGCCAGCACCATACAAAGCACACGTCTCCTTGTTGAAATGTCCTGTGGATTTTCAAAAAATAAGTGATGTTGATATTCTACCAGTGGTGTATGAAGTGTATCTTGAGAATTCCCCCACACCTCTGTTTCTGTTTTTAAGATATTACTGAGTTTGGGGGAAATTAAGTGCATGTTTTCTATCTAAATAGCAGCCAAAAAACCATCGTAAGGCGGGGAAATATATCCAGTGAAGTTTGGGTCTTGATAACCATGGGCAGTCTGCTGGGAAAATGTCAAATATTCTTTGACACACGGCAGACATCCAGCTCTCCAATGACGAGCGTTGCCTGAATCCGCTACTGGACTTATGCTACAGAGTGTGGGAAATGTTCTAGATTAAAAGAGGTTAAAAATTGTCCCCTTCTGGGGAGATACTCTAGGAAGGGAAGGGTCCCACCCAAGCTCCTCTATATCCCGTGGTGAAGAACTTAAAAGGAGAAATATGAAGGCGATCAGTTTTCCCTCCATGAGCCTAACATCATTGCCCCGCCAGGGACTCAGGAGACCCTGGAATGTGTATGGAAACAATGCAAGTGAATGGTTTTGTGTTCCACTTTGGAAGTATACAAAGATAAGATTCTCTAAAAGTTACTGTATCAAAGACGCCGTTACAGTGGTAAAAGTTCCAGTTCCGCACTCCCTGAATCTTGGAGAAAACCGCCCTGGGGCCCGGCTGCCGCTCATCCTAAGTGATGAGATCTGGGGTTTGTAAAGCTGGCCCCGCGCCGCGGACAAGTGACGGGCCCGCAGTGCGAGACAGAAGCATGTGCCGTGGCAGATGGGAATGAAGCTATAGTGAAACAGGAGAGGCTCTGCGTGCTCCACGCCGGAGTCCGCTGCCGTGACGTGATGGCAGGGAGACGTCCCTAAGCAGACTCTGCCACAGAAATACTTCTTCCTTCTAAACAGTGCCCTACTGATGCTTTTGTTAAATGAATATACATTTTGCGTGTTTTAAGGCACAGGCGCCATTTAGTGATTCTCCCCTTCAGTGCACTCTCTCTCAACTGGCCTTGACGGCACAGCCACAGCGTCTCACTTGGCACTTGGCCACATGAGCCACTCAAGTTGTATGAGTGGATAGACTTATGCTTAACAGAATAACACTTGAGAATCTGTCCGTAAAGAGTTATGCTCCAGTGTCCCCTCCCAGGGGAGGCGCTCCCTCAGGCTGGCAGCAGAGTGCCTTCTCGGTGTCAGGGCCCTTGTGACACAGTCCTCAGTCCCTCCACAAGGGCCAAGACCTGGGTTCTGGTGGCACACGAGGCCCACAAGAAATTCTGTGAAAATAGGGCTCCTTATACAGCTGGGTCTGGAAGTATATGTCATCGCAGGAAGTTAATAAAGACAGTCGTCTGGCCGTGGCTGTGGAACTGATCACAGACTAGTCCTCCGGCTGTGAGAAGCACCAAGATGGTTTGGCTCTGCTTGGGCAGCGCACAGGCTTCGTCCCCAGGAGAGCATGGCAGTTCAGTTGAGCTGAAGAAGCAGAGATCGAAGTTTATGGCGAGACACGGCCCTGGACAGGGGGTAGCTGTGCAGAGAAGGGGCCCCAGAGGTCCATGTGGGGATCCCCTGTTAGTCCATGGCTGAGGGCTGAGCAGTCTGGGCACAAGGCCACCCCCCTCAAGGCTCACCCAGTAGCGCCACTGGGCAGCTCAGTCCTGCCCAAGTAGAAGGATCTCGCCAACACTCTTGGCATCCAGCTAGACTCCAGAAAGGCCATTCCTGAGGGTGAGGACCACAGGCTCAGATTTGACCTGCTTCAAACCCACCCTAATAAAGTCTGAAGTCAGGCTTCAAGAATATCTCCAGAGGAGGTGGAGTTTGGAGGCTGGTCCCCACCAAGTTAGAGGGGCCCTGACAAGGTGTGTGACACCAAACCCACACAGCCCAAAGGTGATCAGCCAGTAATTAAGTTGCTTGTTAGAACAGAAAATTAACCCTCTTCAAAGAATCCAGTCTCTTTAACATATTATCCACAATGTCTGGTGTTTGATCCAAAATCATTAGATATGCAAATAGGAAAATGTGATCTATGCTTAAGAAAAAGTAGTGGTAAGACACCACAAACCCTCTGCCACCGTAGGTTCGACAGAGGACAGGTCTGCTCCCTGTCCTTCGGGAGGAGCGGCCCTGCTCTCTGCCTCTGTGCGTGGGGGGCCCGGGGCCACCATCTCTCCAAGCGTGCTTTCTAGAACGGGCACGACTGGACCTGGGGGATCAGACCAGCAGACGCGAAGCTGGTAGTGATGCATATGCTCCCAGCAGCTCTTCAGCTTGCTCCTCATTTAAAGTTCCTGTCATCCAAAACCCTTGTGAGCAGTGACAGGCTGGAGCCCACTTGCCCTCGCTCGTCGGAGCTATGTGCCTCATCCCAACTCTGTGGTCAGGGACCTGATGCTGGTAGCGTGAAATCAGCCATGGCGGGGTATTTACACCACAGGAATTGGCAGGCAGTACAAGTGAGGGCTTTTTGATTTCTCTGGGAGCTGGTTGCTGAACGCGTGCCCACACAGCACCTCACACGCGTACCCATCCTGAGCCCTCGCCTCCACCTTCAGCCAGGCGCTTAGTGCATCTTGCCTTCAGAAGACCCTTCTGCCATCTGTTTTCACTTGTTCCTCTGCTGTATTCTTTGGGAACTGGTAGAAACCAGGGCGGCTCACCTCTCTGAGCCCCCTGCCCTGCCCCCCGCGGAGGAGCCATGATCATCCACAGGACAGGTGTGGGCTGACCTGGTCAGAGGCACACGCTGTGACGGGCACTCTGAAGCCAGAGGCCCGCCATGCCCTCGTCTTGATGGTGGTTTAAAAAGTCAGAGAACTCTTCCCATCTCTGGCAGGTCCCCTCCAGGTGGGCCGTGACGGTCAGGAGGATGGACCCTAACTGCTTTGAGCAGTACAGCTCAGACCTCTGAGCCCCTTGTCCAGCTTTGTATCCTGGGGACATCACGTGGGCAGTGGGAGCTCAATGGTGGGGGGCATTTTCCTCCCAGACACCAGTAATGCCCCTAGTGGAACAGGCCAGAGGCAGCTTACGGGACAGATGGACATTTACTTGGCGTGGCCTCTGCTGTGCTGGCCATGTTAGGGTCAGAGCACTCAGTCAGGCCTTGGAAACAACCACCACGTTGGTTTGTAGGAAGTACAGTGGAACCTGCTTTAACACTCTGCCTAGAGATGGGGCGGGGCTTGTAAGCGGTGTGGCTTTGTCTTTTCTCTGCTGATCTTAACTTGGATTCGCCCCTGTTTGGTGATGTGGCCCAAGTTCTGGGCGTAAGCAAGAGTGTTCTCCTTGGGGTGCTCCTGGAAGGCGGCTAGGAGGTACCAGGAGGCTCCGGGGAAGACACCTGGCTGTCTTCTGAGTGGGGGGGACTGGAGCGCGTCAGTGGGCTCCTGCTCAGATGGGGGGCCAGGAGGCCCGGGGCTGTTCTGTCCTAGAGGCTTTCCTAATGTGTGTGCGTGTCCTCCAGATGAACGACAATCTCCTTGAGAGCTGGAGCGACCTCGATGAGCTGAAAGCGGCCAAGAGCCTGGAGACGGTGTACCTGGAGCGGAACCCCCTGCAGAAGGACCCCCAGTACCGGCGGAAGATTATGCTGGCCCTGCCCTCAGTGCGGCAGATCGACGCCACCTTCGTCAGGTTCTGAGTCCTCCTGGCGCCTGCCGGGTCCCTCTCTTCACAAGAACTTCCCAGCCACGGTTTTTATCCACCCGTTGCTCCTCAAGCCGGCACTCTCTCAGCAGTCACAAACCCAATGGCAATAAAAAGGCACTGAGTGATAACTGCCGTGTGTGACGCCCGTGCCACTTCGGGACACTGTGGCCCGTACGCTGCCACCTGGTGTTGTCATGCCCGTGGCGCTCCCGCCACGTCTGTTTCCTCCTCCAGAGATGGGCGGGCTGGTGGGGGTGAGGGCGCTGCCTGGGGTGGGGGCACTCGGGGGCCGGCCTGGCAGCCCAGACCTGTTTGGTCTTATAGACCAGGTGACGCCAGGGTTTTTCTAATCATACGTATTTCAGAACAAAACCGTGGGCACAGGATCGCGGGGTCCCGTGTGCTGCGACCCACTGGGCTCCCCGACAGCCATGGCCATGCGCCAGGCCCCCTGCCAGCCACTGCCCAGGCCGCCCGTCCCACCCGTCCGCGGCGCTCCGAGGCCCGGGGCTGCCCGTGAGCGCCAGAGGGGCCGCTGCCCGAGCACCTGGCCGCGCGGTGCCGCTGACAGCGCAAACCCAGCTGAGGCTCTGCTCAAGACCTGCTCCAAAGAGCTTATGTCTTGACAGCCTCTAACGTCGCTTCCCAGTCTTACCCCGTCCTTGTGCCGGCTTGTTTCTTAGAAGATTTACGTCGACAGTCACCCGGGGTCTGAATTTAACGCTGCGGGGACCTTAGCCTCTCTTGGGGTCTCAGATTTCCCTTCTGCAGAAAGAGGACTGAATCGAGTGGTCACCGTGGGTCCCTTCTCCGAGATTCTAGAGTGGCACCGTCCAGTACGGGGGCCGCCCACCACCACGTGTGGCTGCTTCAGTTCAAATTTAAATGTGTTTAAATAAAATGAAATAAAAGCATTCACCTCCCCTCGGTTGCACTTGCCACGTTCCAGGTGCTCAGTGGCCGCATCTCGCCAGGGGCAGCCCTCCCCCTGCATTCTCATGAGCAGCCCAAGCAGGTCACAGGTCCCCGGGCGACAGGGCGACCCCTCCCAGGAGTTGCGGACGTGGCAGTAGTTGGCCTGAGGCCAGGAGCACCTGCCTACAGAAAGCAAACACGGCGGACACGGGGGTGGGAGGGCATGGCCCAGAAAGGGCCTTGGGATGATGGCCCTAGAGGTCGCAGAAGAAAGTTTAGACCCCAGGATTCAGGATTGGAATGCCCTTGCTGGAAGCCTTATTCCCGGGGAGCCATGCATCCGAGCACAAGGCGGAGACCTGCAGGAGTGCAGGTGACGGGCCTGCGGGGCCCTCTGCGGAGCTGGGATGGCGTTCTGGCCCACGCAAGGGAGGGACGTGCCCGTGCCCCGGAAAGACGGCGTGACGTCAGCCACGAGGGCATCGCTTTTTATTCTGGGAGGCAGAGTATGGCTGGTGGCTGCAGAGAGTGTGTGGCACGAGCAAGGAAAGGGAGCAGTCACTTATAAACGGTGCACGGGAGGCCAGGTGTTGACGGTCGCCGCTAACAGAACAGGTGTTTCCTCACGGGTGGGAAAAGAAACCCAGAGAGCCTCGAGCAAACAGGACAGTAAGAGAAAGTCCTCAGCAGGCCTGTCCTCATGGGGATGGCACACAGACGCTTGCCCAGCGCATCTGTGCGTCACAGACAGGAAACTTCGGGGGTGGAGGGGGCGGGGCACGAGGTGCTGAACCCAGCGCCGTCCCAGTCGCGTGCCATCCACTGAACCCTAAAACCGACGCTGAGCCTTGAACGACTTTGGACAAGAGGCAAGAGAGGCAGTTTCCTGCTGGATCCCGAAGGCTGCAGACCGGGTTGGGGAGGCGCCTGGCGCGCCGTGGGCAGGACGTCCCCCGCAGGGCCAAGTCAGAAGCCCCGGTGTGAACGGGAACATCAGAGGAGGGGCTGTGGGCTCCCAAAGCAGGACCCGCAAGACGAGCTTTTGATGGGTTCCTTCACACAGAAGTGGAATTCGGTGGCGCACGGAACGCCAAGAGTAGATCAGATGCAAATGAAGATGCTCGCAGTGTGTGCAACCGGCAAAGGCCGCATCGAAGAACCCTGATGGAAGCCGGCCCAAGGCAAGAGGAGGCACGTCAGGGAAGCCAGAGGGCCCAGGCCCCCCCCCTTCCCCCACGCCGCCATCGAGAAGCACACACTGCGAAAGGGGCCATCCCTGTGCGCCTACCCAAAATTAGCCGGTTAGAAAGCTCCCAGCGCGGGGTGTCCCCGGAGGGCGGGGAGGGACCCCAGGGGCACCTGAGCTTCAAACAGCGCACCCGGCCCTGGGCACCTCAGTACATGCTCCTCAGCAGGAAGCAGCCACAGTGCCCACTCGGAAACCCAAGGAGGCCACGGCCGCAGAAACCACATGTCCATGGGAGAGGGCTCCGCAGGGGCGCGCGCAGACAGGAGGGAACAGCCCTCCAAGGTATGAAACAACCCCAAGCAAAGACACCGCCTGGGGGGGGGTTGGGGGGGCAGAGGTGATGGAATGAATAATAAAGTGTGGGAAAGCCTGGCTACAGGGGGGTTCGGCGTCCTTTGAGGTACTTGGGTTACATCAAGGAACAAAACAAGCCGCTTTTTTTTTTAAGATTTTAAAAACAATCCCTGCCCTGGGGGGCGTAGATGAAGCGGCAGCCATAGACAATAGAAGGTGACTTGCCCTTCGGAAGAAAGCAGAGCGCATGCACAGGTTCACTGGCAGCAGGGGTGGGGTGACCCTGAGGAGGGGCAGACCCACCCTGGGGGTGGGGGGAAGGAGGCTGAGGGGGCAGCAGAGAGGAGGCGGCCGAGTAGAGGGCGGGGAGAGGGAAGCCTCTGGCAGAGCATCCCGGAAGGGGGACCCGCAGAGGAGGCCCGGGAACCCCAACCCATGGGTGTGGGGCCCTTGGCGGGAAGAGCCCGCGTGGGGAGCTAGCTGTGGTGGCCCGGGAGGCCGCGAGGGAGGAGGAGCAGGGAGGTTTCCTGGCAGGGGAGGCACCCTGAGGAGGGGCGGGGCGGGGGCCAGGCACGCAGACACCTACTGTCGCAGGAGGCCAGCAGCGAGGATGGAGGCGGGCGGGCGGGGAGTGGACCCGGTGGCCCCCCGGGGGAGCGTGCTTGCTCTGTGCGGAGGGAATGTTTGGGAGGGGGGGCGGGTCTGGGCAGGGTCCTGAGGGCAGGGCTTGAGCGAGGGGGATAGCACGCAGGGCACAGGAAGACGGCCCAGCCCTCAGACTGGGTGCAGGGCAGGTGAGTGTTGGGGAGCAGCGGCGCCCCTGGCTGGCAGTCACTTACCAGGACCGTTCAGCCCAGTGATTGTGTTGGGACCAGCCAGGTGCCCACCCCTGGGGGGGGAGGCGCACTGGTTCTACCCCAGCCCCTGGGGTCTGTTCCCCTTCCTGGCTGCCTGGCGGCCGGGTGGCCGGGGGCTCATGCTTAGCCCGTGGCACCTGCTGTCTTGAGGGCAAGGGCCAGTGCGGCCGGCTCGGGGCCAGGAACCTGGACTTGGCGGCTGGGCCTGCTGGGTCTGCTGAGGTGAGGAAAATCTGTTTTGTTAAGCCACAGTTGGAGGCTCTTTTCCCCACTTCCACCAACATATTTCTCAGTGTTACACAAATGGATATAAAAAGTTATTGTCAGAAAGCCTGGTGTAGCACGGCTACACTGCGTGAGCGGTGGCTCCCCGCAGCCGCCCCGGGGCCACCGTGAGCAGAGTGCCGGGCACCCCCGGAGCTGACCTCTTCCCGGGCCCTTCACAGTGCGGCCAGAGCAGAGTGTAGAGTTGTGTCAGGCTGGGAAATCTCCGGGCCACCCCTTCCTGTCCAGAGGCCCTGTGGGATCAGGCTGAGGCCCCCTGCAGCCTGTCTCACCCCGCTTCCCGGCTCTGGAGCATCCCCAGTGCAGTCGGTACCCGGGAACCCATCTCGGGGACCCCAGACAGAGAGCTCAGTGCGGACCCTCCGGCTCAGGGTGTCCCTGCTGGGCCCCGACCCACTGCGCAGGGTCTCCCTGGGAGGGGGGTGGGGGTCAGAGATGCAGCCAAGACCACGGCACCACTCCGGGGTTTTGCACAAGAGGGCCCCAAGAGAGCAGTGCTGTGGGGACGGAGGGGACCCCTCCCTGCAGTGAGCAGGGCTGCACCCCGTTTCACGGATGGACCCTGAGGTCGCACCCAGGAAGCGGCACTTGGGCCCACCGTGGAGCAGGTCACTTCTGTGGCCTTTGTGACTGGGGCGTCCTCTGTCCCTGTCCTCTCTGCACAGAGCGCTCCGAAGGGGACACCCCCGCACCCCCACACCACGGCGGGGGGTGTTCAGCAGCACCAAAGGCTGCTAGCTGACTTCAGATTCTTGAGAATCCCTCCAGGAGTGCCCCATGATGCACACTGGCCCTGTACCGGGACGGTGTCATGATGCCAAGCCCTGGCTCCGGGCTGTCTGGAACCTGGAAGACAGTCAGGAGCTGCGGGCTCACGTCTCTGCCTCTCTGGGCCTCAGACTCTCCCCGCCAACCCCCTGCGGCTCCTTCACCCTCATGCCCTCCCAGCCTCCGGGGCCGGCGGCGGCCCTCATCGCTTGTGCTGCGGCAGATGGCCGGCCCCCACTCAAACCCCCGCCCCGGGCCACAGCGCCCCTCGTGCTCTTCGCTGCACTGTGCCAGCCTGTCAACTGGAACAGAGGCATCGGGTGGGGAGGACGCAGCGTCCGCGTGGCCAGGCCAGCCTCCCCGATGGTCCAGGAGGAGCCAAGGTCTTGTCTCTATTAAAGAGTATCATCTGCTCCTCCTGCAGGGGAGCAGAAAGAAGAGGGGGCCGCTGAGCCCACCCCTCTGGGCCCCCTCAGGCCCCACCACCCCACACAGGGCTGAGAGGGAGGGAGGCACACACTGGACAGGTGGACAGACAGACAGCTGCTGGGCCAAACCTCCCAAACGCTCCCTCCTTGTCCTTGATCTGCTCTCGGAGCTGGAGGCCCATGTGGGGGACCGTCCTGTGCTTCCAGGTGGGACAGCTCAGCCTGTGCCCTCCCCGGGGAAGCGGGTTCCCGTGGGCTGCGTGGTAATACGGGGACCACGTCTCACGGGCCCACCTGGGCTCTGGGGTGCAGGAGCGGGATGCTGCGGAGCCAGGCCCGGGAGGAGGACAGTACCATCCTGATCGACATGGCCCTCGGCTCCGAGAGTGGCGACTCCTACGGGAGCACAGCCAGCACCTCAGAGGTAAAGCTCAGGAGGCAGCCTCTCGCCTCCCCTCCCTGGGACCCAGGCCCACAGTCGGCTGTGGATTTAGGAGGGTCTCTCCCTGCCTGGGCCTGAGCCCCCAACCCCCGATGAGACTCAGGGACCTGGAAGACAACGGCCCCAGCTAGGGCCCCCAGCCTATGGGCGTGGACCCAGCGCCCATGGCCACGGTGTCTTCCCACAGCCCTCACCCGGTGCCCGGACCTCCTGTGCCCTCGAGCTGCCCCGGTGAAAGGAAGGGAGAGGATCCCAGGTCACCACCCAGCTCACCGGCCCTGGGGCACATGCAGACAAGCCCAGGGACAGGCTAGGCGAGAGGCCAGGCTCAGGCTGGGCCAGGCCAGGTCCCACCGGCGTGAAGGAAAGCTAGAGGGACACATATCGTGTCCTGAAACTTAAACACAGAGATGTTCCTTAAGATGCTGTGTTCGGACGTGTGCAAAGCATGGAAGTGGCCTGGGAGGGGGGCAACCCCCCGACAGCCCCTGCCCCAAAGGAGGGATGAAGGATGTCAGCTGTGTCCACGGTATTTTGTTACCTGCCCGGGGATCACCTAGACCTAGAAACCCTCTGGCGCCATCACTGCCTCTGGCCTATGCGCAGAGCCACTTGGGGGCTGTCTGGCTCTCCTCCAGCTGCTGGAGGCCCTCAGTTGTGGTCCTGCCCATGTCACCTACAAGCCTGACCCTTGCCCACAGCCCAGCCAGGTGCTTGGAGGCCCATGTGGCCTTCGGGAGGCCGGAGGGGGCATGAGGTTGGCCTCAGCCCTGGACGTGCCTGCGTCTGGGAGCTGCTCTGCCCATACTCGGTGGCTGTGTTCTCTGCTCGTCCTTGTGTGTCGGGGCGGGGGGGGGAGCAGAATGTGGAGGAGTCATTAGGGTCAGAATGCTGCCATGCCTTTTTCTTTCCTTCCAGCTGAATGGACACAAGGAGGCCGCCCACAGGGTGGGGAGCCCTTCCAAGCCCCAAATAGGTAAGCCGCTCCCAGTGCCTGACAGCTGTGCCCAAGTTAGTCCTGGGGGTGGGGACACAGATGGGATGCCCACGGGTGGCAGCCAGTCACCATCCCTAGTAACCAGACCACCCCTCCCCCCCAGCACTCTCTCTGCACCAGCTCTGGGGCCAGCTGCTGTGCCCGGGGTGGGGCAAGGGCCTGGCGGGGCGCAGGGCACGGCTGGGGAGCTGGAGCCGGCAGGGAGGGGGTCCCTCCCGAGGGGGCGGGGCTGGAGGGGCTCCAGGGGGGCCCACCCTTCCCAGCACCTGGGCTGCCTGCTGCCGCCCGCACCTCACACCCGTTAGGACAGCAGCTATTACAAGTAATAAAACAAAACAAAATAACCAGCGTCAGCGAGGACGTGCGGAAGCTGGACCCCCGGGCGCTGCTGGCAGGAGTGGGAGCCCGTGCGGAGAGCCGGGCGGCGGGTCCTGGAAATGAGACCTGGAGCCACCCGGCTAGCCGGCACCCCGCTTGTAGGTGTCTCCCCGAAGGATCTGGTGATGGATATTCTGGTGGCTCATGTGAATAACGCAGCGGCAGTGAACATTTGTGCCCCAGATTTCGTGGGACACGTTTCTTTCCTGGGGCACGTGCCTTTGAGGGGATTGTTGGGGGATGGCAGGGTCATATGGTAACTGGAGGTTGAACGCTCTCGAGAAACCGCCCAACTGTTTTTCAAAGTGACCGGAGCACTTGGCAAACCGCTGGAGTCTCTCCGCACCATGCCCAGTCTGATGAGCCATCCTAGGGAGGACCACGTGGCATCTCCCTGTGGTTCTGATCTCGGAGTCCCTCATGGCTGATGACACCCAGCATCTTTTCAGCAGCTTATTGGCCGCTTGTCTGTCTTCTATAGAAAAACGGCTATTCACAATCTTTGCCCATGTTTAAATTGGGCTATTTTGTCTTTCTAGTGTTGAGTTGAAAAGTTCTTTATATATATTGAATACAGGTTCCTTATTAGATATATGATTTGCTAATATTTTCTCCCATTCTCTGGGTTACTTTTCACTTTCTTGGTGGTGCTTTTGAAGCACGTAGCTTTTTTTTT